CGTGAAATTTTCCGTGCTTTTCGATTCTGATGCGATCTATCCGCAATTCGGTCGGGAACCGTGACTTTTAGCATCGTGACCCCCCCCTTTACCCCCCAAGGGGAGGTGGGGGGGTGTCCGGACCACGAAATTCGGATTCCTTGGGGTCAATTCCCTATTCATCCCCGCGGTCTCCGACTTCGTGGGACCTATACCAACCGAGAAAAAGGCCTGGTACGGGTGGTCTGAAACACCCTGTATATAAGGTTCAGTTTGTCTAGAACAATGCGAAGAGTTTGGAATGATGTCAGTGTCTCAACTGTGTGGCTGCTTGATCAATAAATCGAAAGCAATAATTTTAGCTAAGATCCTGAAGTCTCTAAATTCATCAATTGGCTTAATAAGAATATTTTGTCCAAGTGTAGCCACTAAAAAAATATTGCTTGAGATACGCCTTTCTTTTGACTGTGTCACATGTAGCAAAAAAAAAAGTTGATGGTTTTTATTATTACTCCCAAAACAATGAATAGTTAAAAGATTTGAGAACTTTGGGCAGACATACTTGAGCATTCCATTAATTTAAGACTTACATCTTAAAGATTGGGTTTCTGATTTCCAAGAAAATCGGTGTTTTTGGGCGCTTTTGATGATGCCGAAATTCAAGGTGATGTCATGGTTGCTCCAACCCGGATTTTAATGATTTTAGTCTTAAATGGAAGCTTCATAGGCCAGGCACCAAGGGGATAAATATTGAATTAAATGGTGGAAAGCTGGAAATTTTTCTGAAAGACGTATTATAAGGTCCTTAAATGAGGGTTAATTTTGCACCATTTCTGAAATATGCGTTTAGCCGCCATCTCGGAGTTTTAGGCCTAAAGTTGCTTTTTTTCGGTTCTTCGCCCACAAGTCGGTAAAAAAGTCATTTTTTCGTGGAAATACCTCAGTGCAAAGTCGTGCTCTTAAAATTACCAACCAGAAAGGCTGTCAGAGCATCTATCTATGTGACTTAAGGTTTTCAAGTTATGAGCATCGCGAAGTAGGGCTTTTACGCTCAATATTGGCCATAAACGGTACCTCTGAGTTTCCAGCTTTACAACTTTGCAGAAAACTATGAAAGAGAGAAAAATTCAATCCTAACCTAAAATCTATGATTTCTCAAACATAAATCTCAAAATCCAAGTGCGTGGGTGGGGGGGAGGGAGGGGGTTTAGTGTGGGACTTATATTTTTAAATCGACCAAACCAAATGTTGCACAGTCCTAAATGGTTCTGTGTGATAAGAAATCACGGTAGCCAAAAGGATTTTTAAAAAAAATTTTAACCCGGCGCGCACTAGGCCTAAAGATCGTGATTTCTCCGATTTTACCCGTCTATTGTTGATAATTTAGTTAGTGATAGGGATTTGACGCTCTATGTCCAAAAATTAGTAGAAACGGAGCACATAACCTTGCAGATTAAGGGAAAATTGTTGTTTTTCTCCTAGGTCACTGTCTTTTGGCTTGGTAATGCTTAAGCCCTCCGCTCGGCGGCTCTAAAAATCCAAAGGGTATCCCAGGGTAAGGGCACCAAAATGCCCCTCCCCACGGATTTTAAATTCAATGGTCTAAACCCTTTCAGGAGGTCCTAAAAATATGATTTTGGGCAATATTTACCTCACGACCCCAACTACATCCTCCCCCCTCCAGCCCCGAAAAACCCAGTTTTCGGGGAATTTTGGGGTATTTTCACGTGTTATTCCATATCTTCCGCGTGTATCGACGACAATGCCCCAAATATATATCAGACCAATCAAATTTTTGGGTAAAAAAAATCAAATTTATCGAACTATGTTTAGACCCCTCAAAAATTTCGTAAAAATCGTAAATTTTCAATTTTTTCCCGATGTTAGCGGGTTATAAAAATGAGAACATGTACATCTTTTTTTTTTTGTCGTTAAAATGTACTCAATATACCCAGTTATTACGAAAAAATTGTTTTTTTGGCGCCAAAACGGTCAAAATGGCTTATTTCAGCAATCATTTTAAAGATCTTTTGTCGGAAAAGCGCCCAGAGTTTTGAGAGAACAGCACGAACAAGGGAAGCATGAACAGCTTGGAGATTCACACTTTTGACATAATTAAATCGGTCAAAGAGTTAAAAAATGACAAAGCACTGGTTCCTGGTGGAATTCCTGTCGAGTTGGCCATGAGCGGGACTGCCAAGCTTTTTGAATGCCTCAGAAAACTGATGCAACGATGCATCAGGCACGGTGCGCTTCAAGTCTTTTTAACAACTCTTCATGTACATCAAAAATTCAAGTTGGAGGTTGTAGTGGAGACCTCCCTGATGGATTTTTGGGCAATTTCGAAATGGGTTATTGGAGCTCTCGAAAAAATAATAGCATTTTTGTGGTTTTTTAGGGGTAAAATAGCAAAATTGGCATTTGGGCAAAAAATTAAACCCTCTCTCCCTCATCCTTGCCTTGATCGATCTGAATTTTTAGAATGTTTTCACCTGGTATATGATGTGACTTTCCTGAAAACTTTTGCCCCCGCGGCAGCGTTGCCAAGTTGCAGACTCCAAAATATCGAATTTGATAATAAAATGAGGGTTTCGAGGTGTGATTTCCTCCAAAATTTTACGAGAAATGTGCAATCTAAGAGTTTTCGATTGGAAATGGCATGTATGAAATATTTATAATTGCGTTGTTGCCAGCTTTACGATTTAAAATTTGTCAAAATCACCCGAACCGCGTTGCAACCTTAAGCGCTGAATTTTTATTTCGTTCAGAATCGGTAATTATGATTCTTTTGTACTCTATACATTGAAGTACCATGACAATTATGTCATTACTTAATTGATGGGTGCAGTTAACTCAACAAGGAAGGCCGGGATAAAGCGATGAGTCGGGGAAAAACGAGCGGTTTGGGTTGACCGAAAGTTCTTAAATCTACTCCATAAACAGAAAGTAGAATTTGAGAACTTTCTCCCACCCCCCAAACCTTACCCCTGTTGCAGTCAATACCTACTTCGAACATTCTGTCTAAAATCTTGCTGCTAAATTTTTCCCAAAAACATGAAAAATAAAAATAAAATGAGTGGATAACGACGATTCAAAAAACGTTTGAAAGTCCCGGAATTTGACCTCCTCTCATAGCGGATTTGATAGTTTAAATCCAGAAAGCCTCTTGCTGCAAAGAAAATTACCTTCAACAATTTAAAGAATAAATTTGCAAATGATTGCAATAATTTTGAGTAATATTGAAAATAAATTCCGTGAGAACAAATGTAGACTAGACAACGAAATTAAAAATGTTTGGTAAATTTTGCGTTTTATAAAGAGTTGACATGGGGGTTGATAGGAAGTTCTCTTTTTATGACACAAGATTTACAAATCATTTTTAATTTCGTTGTCTATTCCTCTTTCATTATCAGGGAATTTATTTTCAATATAACTCAAAATTATTTTGATCTTTTGCAAATTTATTCTTTAAATTGTTGAAGGTAATTTTCTTTACAGCAAGAAGTCTTCTGGATTCGAACTATCCAATCCGCTGTGAGAGGAGGTCACATTCGGGGGCTTTCAATCGTTTTTTGAATCTTCATTATCCACTTATTTCATCTGTGTTTTTATTTTTCATGTTTTTAGGAAAAATTTAGCTACAAAATTTTAGATAGAATGTTTTAAGTATTGACTGCATAAGAGATAAGGTTTGAGGGGAGGGAGAAAGTTGATTATCTTTCTTCGCTCCCCTTTACATGATCTGATGGTAGTCTAGTGGTTAACGCACGCACATGGTCAATAATTTTTACTGCAGTTCGTGTTTTTAATTAGCTCCTCTTGTGGCAGTCTTTCTCGTAATTTCTCAATTTTTACTTGTTAATAGATGAGTCCGATTAGTTCTTCGTCGCTTTTGTCTCTAAGGTAATTGGCTGTTCCAATGTCGTTAATGTATGAGAGAGACGTCACTTCTGTGAACCCTGTTTCCCCTCCATTCTGTGAGATGTAGAGCCCATCCACATGACCGTAATGAGAACCCCTGACAACTCCTGACCTCACAAAAATTGCTTCAGAAATGAAATTTATAACCTTAACCCTGTGAATCCTACTTATAAGGTAGGTTGCAACGCAACCAAGAAAATAGCATTTAATACTACATGCTCTCAATTCAGAAAACAGGAGATTGAATCAGATCGTTGACAGTATTAAAGGCTTTAAAAATATAGGTATAGATCACATGCGTAGGAAAATTATTTAGGAAATTATTAACCATATGGTGTACATCATCAGCAAGGCAACAGTTGATTTCTCAAGGACAAAATCTTGCCACCCATCAATTATTCAAGAAAAAATGAACGTTGAAAAGTAACATTGAACAATCCAAAACTTCGGCAAAAATATTTAGAAGAGAAATAGGTACATAATTCTTAAAATTTCTTTTATCACCAGACGAAGAACCAAACAAGGGCAAAGTTCATCAGGACCTAGAGTAGTTTCAACATCAGTATCTTCAAGAGTGCTCAAAGCCCCAGTAAAAGATATTCTAACACTACACAAAACATCATTAGAAAAGGACTCATGAAAGAGAGCAAGTACTGCATCTTTAAAAAGTGAGGAGATGCGCTCTGCAAGTAGATAAGCAATATCATAACCTGAATCAGCAACATCAGCATCAAGAGACATAACATTTTGAATACCATTATCACAAATATTACCAACAAAGTTGAAAGAACTCTTTGAATCATCCTGAAAATTCCGATCATCTTCAGCAAAGTATTTGGAGAAATTTGCATCACACAGTCTCAAAATAATTGCTTCTCGATTCTTAAACATTACATATTCGAACTCATTTTGACTCTAATAGTATCTATAGAGTTCTTTTTTTTAATAATATTGCATTCTTCAGATCATAGACGAACCATTTTGGAAAGGATCATACCCTGTGGGTTTTCAAAGGACAAGGAATTTCTACGTATAATATATTACAACATATTCATTGAGGCATCCAGTAGACTACCAACGTCTCTTTTCTCTGTTTCCAGGAAATTTTCATGGTCCAGTTTATGCCAATTCATTGAAAATATTGATGGACCCAACTTAGAAGTCGCCGAAAATCTTGAAAAACTTCTTGGAGATGTGAAGGAATTAATGGGTGAGTTTGATAAACTTAGCTTCGTAATATTTACATAATATCTCATACTCAGTATGCTTCTTGCTGTTCTGGAAGCAAAATATCCGACTCTCTAAAAAAATTATAATTTTATATCTTTGAGGAATAACAAAAGTTTCGGAAAATTTTCCTCCCAAAGAAAATTTAGAAGTCCATCGAACAAAAATTTATAGGCAACATCGAATAACAGATTTGATTAATTTGGCTTTTGCTTTAGATGTTTCATAAAACTCACCCCGGAAATGAATGGGGAAAGTATCAATCAATGTTGACAATATTGACTCACAATATCCATGTGAATGGAATCTTAAGAAAACAGGACCTAGAACCTAAATTTTTACCCCTCTTTGGTAAACGGATGTCTCATGAGTTATGATGCAAACAATGCGCAATCTTTGTCCTCCGGGTAGAAATCACTGTTTTGTCCAAATATCCAACTTTTTAAAATCAATGAGGAATGACTATTTATTTCTGGAAGTAGGTATATGGAATTTTTATTCAGATCCTCTTTGGCCTTCACAGAGATTGAAGATGGTATCGAATTTAAACCAATTTCACACATTTAGGAGGGAAAAATAATTATTGTGCCAAATGCTGAGGTAGATCTTTAAAAATAGCCCAATTTTGCGTTATTTTAATGTTTCGATGTCAAATTGAGTATGCCTCATGTATTCATACACAGCCTTTAAAGGAACAAGTTCTATAAGATGCAGTACTCTCATGAGCAGCCAATCGCAACACAATCTTGCATCAGATCTTTGTAAACTCAGAGGATCCTTTACCCTCCTAAACCTGGATCCATCCATCGCCTATTCTAAAAGTGAGGTTATGCTATTAGTAGGAAACAAACGGATAAATGGGTCGAAATAATGGAAAATAAGTAGATTCATTACGTTTTCCTACCCCTTTCGACAAGAGTGGCCTTGGCTCTAGTTCTCTGAGAGGGAAAAACCCGATTTATTGCAGGTATTTGTGATCTTTTGGAATTTTAGTGGAGTCCAACATTTGATAATAGCAGGTAGTTGCGTGGATTCTATGCAAGGTTGCAACACTAGTGACTGCTCATGGATTTTAAACATTGGCTCTTATGGCAGTCCAGGGTCCTATACAACTCGTGACTGGCAGCAGTAGCTTTTTATCAGCCAGTCCATGGCAGTCCAATTTGGTGACCATGCTATGGCATCACTGAGAGCTTTCAGGCCAGATCATGCTGCCCAGCATGGTAGTCAAAGTCTACCAACGTCTAACATGAGGGTCTCATCGGCACCAGCATATGAGATCTTTCAGGATTGCCCATCACACACTGTCTTTCTGTGAAAGAGGTCCTGTCGTGAAGAATGCTCTTCTTATTTCATTTCAGGAGATGATGAAGTAATGGAAGTGGTTGAAGATGCTACAATATTTGTTTTAAAATTGTTTATGAATGAGAGTGCCATGTTGATGAAACATGCAATGAATTTGAAAAAACTGTTTGGGCCTATATCATTCCAGCAATCCAGCAGACTTTTTGAGGTTTGTGCTCTATAGATATCTGTTACTATGAAGTTTGTAGGCGAAAAATAGTGAGCATGTGAGAGGGGAATATTTGTCAGAGAGTGCTATGTGGCCTCTCAAGTCGAATTCCATGCTAAGAGGGTGGTGTGCGCAAGCATTTAGGTGACGTGAATTGAAGAAAACTTTATGAGCCATAAAATGCTCGATGAAGGGAGCCGGGGACCTTGGCGAAGCCACGGTCAACTACTCTTGGTGGCATTTGGGTCGTGGCGCCAGCAGCGCGGAAAGCAATAGACGGACTGTTCCCTCAGGCGATAACGCCCGAGACACAGGATGACGCCGAAGAAAAGGGGGGGGGGTTAGGGGACCTAGGGTGTTTCTTATTTTTTAAATTTTCGAATTCGAAGGAGGTCCTGGTCCTAAAAGTTGATGTGTAGATACATTAGAAGTCTCGTACAGGGAAAAAAATTTAAAACAATTTTTACCCGGTGCTCAAACGACTTAAGTGACACACGTTGAAATTTGAGATTTTTCGATAAATTAACACTGTTTTCCCGTGGAAAACGCCGAGTTACGGCCCTAAAGTGCGAAAATTTCGTCCGTTTCGTCGTATCTGCAACACAAAAGCCGCAAAACACCCGAGAAAGGCGCGCGCAACGAGAGACACTGGGAGCAAAATGGGCGCGCAGCGCCACACCGCGCCGTAGCGCAACGCGCGCGCGTCCTCTGCACTGCCTATAAGCAACATGCCGCACGCACGCACTAAGCTTACGCGGGCCCGAAAGTTCCCGTCCGCTGCAATGTATCATTACGAATTTACCTACACACACTTTAACATTAAAAAACAGTTGAAATGTATAAATACATAAAAAAAACAAATTTTCTTTGTAAAATATTGGCTATATGTAAGAAAATCAATTTCAACAACTAAAACAGTCGAAAGTTAATAAACTAAATCAAATAATCCACAGTTTACTTAAAGGCTCAGAGCCTTAAAATGGTTGACAGACTATTTTCATTATTTTTGTATGGTTTTATTGACTTTGGCTTTGACTTGTAAGAGATCATGAAAATGCAGCTCTTGTTTATATCGGGAGTTGGCAATAACATGTACTGATTCCTTTGTAAAACCTCGCGTGAAATAGGATGGTTTCACTGGTCTTCTCTGAAACAAACCCTAAAACTAAAAAAAAACTCTCAAAGTTAAGGCCGTATTGAAAAAGATATCCCCGCTTTCCTGAGAGTCCACCTTCGTAATAAGCCTTTTCTATGCTAAGATACGGAGCAAATTGACGGCGTAAGTTCGCAATCACATATCTCAATTCCGGTGTCTGAATATCTCCATTTCTATGTTATTTTTTAAAGGAGAACAAACTGACACCATTCCTTGAAGTTTATGTAGACTTTTCTTCTCACATGGAAAAAAATCACGGCAGTTTTAAAGAATTGCCAGTGAGTAGTTTTCCGTTTGAAAAATAAAGTACCTAGGTATGACAGGAAGGCTGCGACGTCGCAAACGGAGTCGTGTGATTGCCGACTCTTACTGTCGAAATGAATCAGCAGGATTGCGGTCAAAACTGAAAAAACGTGTTTTTAGTTTTGGAAACCCCAACAAAGTGGCTACCCTGTCAATTTATATTATTCGCTCTTTGCATGGAGGGTTTGACTTGATACAGAGGTGGACTCTCAGGATAGCATGGGATATCCCCTCCATTACAGCATCAACTTTCAGAGCTTTTTTCAGTTTTGAAATTTGTCTCGGAGGAAACTGATAAAACCATCGTGTTTCTCGCGGAATTGTGCGTAATAATCTATATATTTAATATCCTAAGGCTTTTTTTGTCAGAACTTAAATCACTAACTCCTAACACATGCAAGATCTCCATTACCTGCCGATGTTACCTATCCTCCTGTTGTGCGTGGACATCACTTTAATTTTGCGCTCAGCATGGTCACTATATCAACTTTTATGATTTAACTACTTTTTTTACCTCAAGATACTCGGAAGTAAATAGCCATGGGGCTGGGCAAGAGTCTACAAATGAAAATGGCAAATCCATGATTTTGAAAAAAAGGTTAGAATGTTGGTTGGGGAGAAGCCTGGACTTACCAGGCATTCTTCAGCGTAGGTACACATTGAGGAGGACGTATGTCATATTGGGGTTCGGAAAAATGACCCAGAGGTCATCGCAGACCTCTACAAGTTTCGCAGCTTTAACGAGAGTACTTACAACAGCTAGTGTTGTGCTCCGTAATTTATCCAGCCACGCATGGTACCTCTGTACTTCTGTAGTAAAAATTTGGTTCCCTTGGCATTATTTGATGATGGACTTACATCGAACACAAAGAGAGTCTTTGTTCATAACATGAGACACAATGTAGAGTTGCTGAATCCACCTGTCCGCCAGAACGTACAATTTAACTAATGTCTAGGGTCACATTTGAAGACAATGATTTTCATGATCTCTTACAAGTCAAAGCCAAAGTCAATAAAACCATACAAAAATAATGAAAATAGTCTGTCAACCATTTTAAGACTCTAAGCCTTTAAGTAAACTGTGGATTATTTGATTTAGTTTATTAACTTTCGACTGTTTTATTTGTTGAAATTGATTTTCCTACATATAGCCAATATTTTACAAAGAAAATTTGTCTTTTTGATGTATTTATACATTTCAACTGTTTTTTAATGTTAAAGTGTGTGTAGGTAAATTCGTAATGATACATTGCAGCGGACGGGAACTTTCGGGCCCGCGTAAGCTTAGTGCGTGCGTGCGGAATGTCGCTTATAGGCAGTGCAGAGGACGCGCGCGCGTTGCGCTACGGCGCGGCGCTGCGCGCCCATTTTGCTTCCAGTGTCTCTCGTTGCGCGCGCCTTTCTCGGGTGTTTTGCGGCTTTTGTGTTGCAGATACGACGAAACGGACGAAATCTTCGCCCTTGAAGATCGTAACTCGGCATTTTCCATGGGAAAACAGTGTTATTTTATCGAAAAATCTCAAATTTCAGCCTGTGTCACTTAAGTCGTGTGAGCACCGGGTAAAAATTGTTTTAAATTTTTTTCCTTGTACGAGGCTTCTAATGTATCCACACATCAACTTTTAGGACCAGGACCTCCTTCGAATTCGAAAAGTTAAAAAATAAGAAACACCCTTGGGGGTGTCCCATTTTGGACGTTAAAAAAATTGCAAAATCCAACACAGATACTTGCCAAAAAGTTGTCTCATGATTAGAAAAAAAATAACGAAAAAATCTCAGTAGTTCAGTCATTTGAGGATAATAATGGCTCCTATGCGGTTTTGAGAGCGGAACTTTTTTTTTTTTTCTCAAAAAAAAAAGAAAAAAGGAATTCATGAAAATGGGTCACTAATAAGCGTAGGATCTTAAAAAAATGAATATCGGCACAAATTATGCCCCCCGTTCATCTCTGAATACTGCACTTTAAGTCGTACATATTTATTCCATGTGCATCATCCGAAAGAACGGCTCAAATCCAGAGAAACGCGGATTTTTATTGACTTTTATCGATGATATGTGGTAATGTCATGCCGCAATGGGAGGCTCTATAGGTAAATATATATACATAATCAATAGTAATGTGGTCATAACATGTGGAAATTCAAGATTTGCCGAACTTTGCTGAATGAACATGGTGAGAAACAGCCTCCGAATACTGAAATAGGTATTCGGTTTTTTGTGTTTTCAGGCGATAAAATATGGCAATATTGGCTTTTTTGGGAGGCTTTGAATCCAAAAACTGTTTTATAGGAAGGATTTGACCAACTACGTACATTTTTTGCCAAAGGAGTTCAATTCTGGTGTAAGATGAGTCGCCCTATTTAAACCATTTTAAATAATATGGAAAACAGGAAAATTAAAAAAAAAATGTAAACAATGAGCGCAAGGTTTGATATCAACAAAAATTGGCCAAAGTGACCCTCTTATACCCCTAATAAGCATACTTGAAGGACTTTTTGCTCCTCCAATGGGATCATTATGAAACAACGCGTCGAGGGACGGTCGAGTAGTGGACGTTTGACTACAAAATGCTAACATCGCTGATTTTTGCACTTTGAGAGCTAAGAACGAGGGATTTTTGAGTCTTGTGGGTTCAAACTGTTATTTCTCTCTTTAAATATAGTGTCAGAAGTCTCATTATACCCATTTGCAACTTTCTAGCAAGATTGCATTTTACAAAAAAAATCTGCGAAATTGCTAAGATCGCCAAGATGAGAAATTCGTAGTTTTGAATTTTCCCGCCAAAAACTTTTGAACTATTAGGAGCTTTGATGGGGGTGTTTGGGGGGTCAACAAATTCTGGGAAAAAGTCATTAAGCTTAGAGTGATGCACATTATTAGAAAATGAATAAAAATAAAATAGGTGGTCCAGACCCATGCTCTCCCGTATACTGGTACTGTAGCTCAACTTATGATTAAGTACGATTAATTGTGCAACCACTCATTGCCTCAAGGATGGTACCTTCCCCATGGAGTGTAAAACAGCTCGGCTCACCCTTATATCAAAGTCTAAACCCGGGGTAAAACACAAATCCTTTCGTACCATATGCATGCTCAACACTTAGGGTAAAATTTTTGAACAAATTATAGTTGCGAGACTTTTGCCAGAAAAAAATCTTTCACCAAAGCAACATGGTTTTCGCAAGGGGCACTCGACAACTGATGCCATAAACAAGGTAAATAACGGGATATTCAAAAACCTACGCAATGATAAACGCCACCGCCCTTGTCTCACCCTCCTCTCTCTTGATATCTGAAACGCATATAATAGTTTGAACAGGCAAGACGTGCATGGATCACTTAAATAAAAATGCCCCTTCATATATCGTAAGGGTAATCCTTAGCTGTTAATCTGATAGGTGCATAACTGCAAATGACCTCGTATTCCAGATAAACTCCGGAGTCCCTTAGGAAAGTTGCATCGGCCCTCACCTGTGGAATATATGTTATAATAAGATCTTAAGCGTAGCCATGAACACGGTAGCAGAGAAGATAATGTATACCAATGACCTAGCTGCTATAGTAGAAGCCAAAAACAGGAAGGAGCTTGCTCAAAAATCAAATTTGGTGACTACAGAAATTAGCGATGAACTCAAGAAAGGGAAACCCGCACTTGATCCGACAATAACAGAAGCCACAGTAATTGAGAGGAAAAGAAAAGGGGGAGGAAAGTATAAAGTAAGAGTGGTAGACCACCAGATTACCCCTGCCCCGGCAATTGGATATCTTTGGGTATGGCTAGACTGTGATGGCACTGTAGATACACACCTCCAGAAAGTTTCAGGGAAAGCAACAAATAAAATACAGTCTTTCTCCTGTATCCTCCCAAACGTAAATGGTCCTTCATTCATAGATAGGAAACTAATTGTCATGGCTATGTTATCGCTATGTTTTTTTATACCGTAAACATTTGGGCCTCTACCCCCATAAAACTCATCACTAAGACGATCCTCCTGATGAAAGCACGTTTATGCAGGGCCTACAGGACCGTTTCCAACACCGCCCTGGACCTAAAAAGCGGTATCCCTCCCATCGAGAATCTTACAGAAGAAAGGCTCCGCCTCGGGAAAAGAGACGAAAATAAATCGGATATAAAGACGTCTATCAGAGCTAAATGGATTCCGGACTGGACTCAAAATGACGCAGAGAGCCTTTAAGCAACTTTTCACCGACCCAGAAAAATGGTTAACCAGAGAGTTCGGGAAAGTACACTTCTTTCTCACTCAGGCTCTTAGTAACCACAGGACTTTCAACGGTTATCTTTACTGTCTGAAAATATCCTCCTCAGCTGAGAGTCCTCATTGCCCTGCTACTTTGGACTCACCCAAGCAGTCGCTCTTTAAATGTGCGTGGTATACCCCGGAAAAGTCCCCATTGGAAAAGAAAATCATCCAGCTCTTCACAGTGGAAAACTACCAGAACACAATCCTTGAATCGCAAGAGAACTGGAAAATGTCCCGAGTTATAATAAGTGTGTCCTCTTAGATAAGAGACTAGCCCTAGATAATGTAACTGTTGTGAGAAGAACTAAAAGACCTCTTCAAACGCTGATGCATGCCCTTGGGTGGATTCCGGTTAAGACACCACTGACAGGGAATGAATTATCATTTCCGTCTCTACTTATAAAGTTTTCCTTTTTTTTACTTTTTTTCCCCTTTTTTTTTGGCAAGCATCTCTGTTGGATTTCGCAAATTCTTTTTTCAATGTCCAGAATGGGACACCCGGGAGGAGGGGGGCGAGTCAAGAAACATCGACTTTTGAATTTCAGAAATATATAGGGGTGGGGGGGGGGAGTTACGCCTCGGTATCAAACTAAAGTGTGCCAAAGCATTCCTCGAAAACAAAATTTCTTGGGGTGCCGCTTTTGCAATTTGTGTCAAAAAATCACGTACTTAATTCGAGCTGCTTTCGCCGATTCCATCGCACTATTAAAGCATAGTCAATTTGCAATTTGCAAGTCATAGTGCAAACCTCTTTTTTTTTGCGTGTGCTTTATCATTTCCCGTTTGGGTGTAGGATTGATCCCAATTTTACCCGGTGCGGCCGCTGGGATGTCCTTAAATGCAAATCGTGTAAAATTGATGAGATGTCTCCGCGGCCGGGCTGAAAGCGCTACCCAGCGGTTAGTGAAGGTGTTGACGAGTCAGCGACGCGGGTGTGGGGGAACCAGCGAGTGTCACGGAGGCACGGACGTAGCTTGATTAAATGGAGCAACCGCCGGAGCTTTGATAACAGAACTACGGCCGATTAGAAAATTACTTGTTCATGGTGCGGAAAAACTGAATGCAACTGATCCATTGTACATAATTTCTTATGTTTCGACTTGTTCATCTCTCAAAGCTCCTTATGACATGTGTAGTATGCACATCCCATTTTGCTATCTTTCCTCAAGCCGTTTTTCTCTGATCTTTTCCGTTTTAACACTTTCCCTAAAGCTCCTTTTACTTGAAGCCCTTTCATTCTCACCAAGTTTTGGGTATAATCTGTCTGTTAAATTTAAAAGGCACAGCCAAAAGAATGTACTTTTTGTGGGTAAAATCACATGAAAATCACGTCGGGCACCTTTAAAAAGTCTGGAATCCATTCCCTAGCGCGCAATCTGCGTAGTTTGTAACACGCTTTTTCAAGTTTTCCACGTCTGTGCACTGTTGTTTTCTGTCACTGCCGACCAGGTTTGCACAGGCAGAGCTGAATAAGAAAAATAAACCTGAGTAAACAAACGATTTCACTATCTTTATCTATCATATTATTTCAATCGTTTTCTAGCATTTATTTTCTTTTATTTCTTAATTTTGCAAAAACAAAACTTTGAATCAATTGAAATCTCACACAAGGAGAGTGTATAGGTAACAGTTCGCGAGATTGTTGGTATATTTAGGTTAGGTCTCTCTTCGGGCAAACCTAACTGCCGGTGACCAAGAAAAACTGCCTGCACACACTGTAACTTTGAAAAATTGTGTTACAAACTACATACGCAGATTGCGTGCTAAGGAGTGGATTTCAAACTTTTTTTGTGTGCCTAACGTGATTTTCGAGCAAATTTACCCTATGAAAGCGTATTCAGTTGGCTGTAGCTCTTGCGTGCAACAGACCCATTCCGTCCTGAAAATGATGCGTTTACCATATTTATGCCTGGTGGGCGCATCTTGATTTGACCATGACTTTATTTGACTCGTCAAATTCAGAACTTTCATAAAATATTTGGTTTTAATAAAGTGGCTTCTGTCATTTCACAATATAACTGGATTTTAGCTTCGGCAGTAGCATAGCATTAGCACTGACTAAGCAGGGTGAGTGATCCAAAATCACAATGAAAATACGTGTGAATATTATTTCACTTTTCCATCAATGTTTCATACTCGCCAGTTTCAAATGATTAACATGCTTTTGTGTGTTCGTTCACAGATGGTCTCCAAAATTGTGAAATTACTGTCTGATGATTGCAAGGAAAGCATTCAAGAACTGTGGCAATCAACTGATAGCATGGTTTCCAAAAAAACCAAGTTATTTAATTCAGATGTCACAATCGATTGTGATCAAGATTGGGCTCCTCCGAATTTAAATTTTTTATCCACTTTAAATGCAAAATCAAATGATGTTTTCAACTCTTTTTCAATGAAGTATAACACCAGGACGGAAGTGAATTCTGCACCAAATCAGGCGATGCTCAGAAGACATGACTTGAAGGTAAAAGTTCATTTACTTTTCTCTATAATTATGTGCAGAAATATATTTAATAAATATATTTCTGCATGCACACACACACACACACGCGCGCGCGCGCGCCCATATATATATATGTATGTATACAGGGTGATCCAGACCACCCGTCCACTATCTTTTTCTCAAAAACGGCGGAGAATGGAGCTTCGGGACCAAAACTTTCATAGGGTAAATCGACCCCAAAGAATGGAATGAAAATATTTTCAGCCCCCCAAAATGGCCCTTTGGGGGCAATTTTCAATTCGACGCTGTAAGCGGTCAAATTATCCAAATTTCAAAATCTAAAAATCTCCTGAGAGGAGAGGTCAATACCTTTTTATTGATGTGCCTTATGACCCCTGTTGCTCCAAAATTTTGGGGGCCACGACCCCCCAAAAATTTTGGGGCTTTGGAGGGCCATGAGTCGAAAATGTCGAAAGGCAAGGGTATGTTTTGACTTCAGATTTGGATTCTACGCGAAAAGTTATGTAGAATTGAAATGGCGCATGGCCTGTTTGCTCCAAATTACTGAAGAACCCCATTTCCCCATAAGAAGCCGTGTATTTTTGGACAAAATAAGGGGTAAAAAAAAATTTGAGCAAACAGGCCATGCGCCATATCAATTCTACGTAACTTTTCGCGTAGAATCCAAATCTGAAGTCAAAACATACCCTTGCCTTTCGACATTTTCGACTCATGGCCCTCCAAAGCCCCAAAATTTTTGGGGGGTCGTGGCCCCCAAAATTTTGGAGCAACTTGGGTCATGTGTCACATCAATAAAAAGGTATTGACCTCTCCTCTCAGGAGATTTTTAGATTTTGAAATTTGGATGATTTGGCCGCTTACAGCGTCGAATCGAAAATAGCCCCAAAAATGCCCCGTAACTCCAAAAAATGGGGGTGTAGGGAAAAAGTGCAAAGAACAAAATGTTCTTATTTTTTACCGTAGATTCCGAATCCAAAGTCAACACATACCCTTCCCATTTGAAAATTGCGAGAAACAGGGGGGCTCCCCCCCAAAACCCACCCTAGGGGCCATTTTGGGGGGCTGAAAATATTTTCATTCAATTCTTTGGGGTCGATTTACCCTGTGAAAGTTTTGGTCCCGAAGCTCCATTCTCCGCCGTTTTCGAGAAAAAGATAGTGGACGGGTGGTCTGGATCACCCTGTATATATATAGCCTCAAATATTTTGCAACTTTTTATATAAGTTTTATTCTTACTTTTCGCTATTGGTGTACTAGGGGGCTGCTATGCGACCCAACCCCCAGAAGGCACTTGCGCTAGACCTGAAGAATGACACCTATTGTGGGGAGGGAGGACAGTGCTCATACTATATTAAATATTAAAATATTCGTTTCCTCTCGTAGAACCATTTTCAAATTCGCTCAGGATCGAAGCTAGTCCAGGAAACGAAGTATTTTGATGGCCGAAAACGAACATACAGCTGGATTTAGGCCCAATCGATTCTTCATTTTATTCATGCATTTTCTGTAAAGAGTTACTTAACTCACCAAGCGGCTTAGTCACTCCCAGACTTCATCTCTGGGCCCACCTCAATACCGCGCAAGGCGCGATGAGGGGATTCCATTTCAAAATTGCAGTACGACCTCGTGATTCAAACTTAGACCGTGCCCCTCCCCTCTTGAAAAACTTACGTGATACTTAAATGGCTTCCTAGTTCGTCCCAAAAATCTTAGAAAGTATCTACCATGAAAAATACAATTTACTAAAAGTTTTAATAGTTCGTTTTTGTGTGTTGATTCAGTGTATCGTATACCTACTTTGACCATAGGATGGGTTCATTTTGGAAAAGTGGGAAGCAACGGTGACGAGAATCGTTTTTATGTTCGTCGTATCGCTAACAGATTGATTACACGAATGACATGGACATGAAGGCGATAATGCATTTTTCTTGCGTTGTCGATGCTTAGAATCTGCCTCAAAAAAAATGGGCAACGGAACGGGCCTTAAAAATGAAGACAGTGGTTTTGTTCATCCGACGGACAAATAGCACAGGCCATAACACAATTTTCCATTTTTTATCCGTTTTTTTTAGTGAATTGGCAAGCATGTGAAAATTGGGACTTAAAATTTTTCATCTAGGGATATTTTCGTAGCTCCGAGGAGAGCCAAGCAGGATCAAAGGATTTAGTTCTTATCGATTTTTTTTAAAGAAAATTTCGCATATTTCTTTTTTTGGGGGGGGGGGCTGAAAAATTGAGCCTCCAATTTTTAAAGACCATATTATAGAAGATTAAAATGGTGATAATCGTCTGGTACCACTTCAGAGGCAATAGCAAGAGGTAAGAGAAAATCGCTAAAAATTCGCTGATGTGTTTATTAACCTTTCTGTTGCCTCTTAGGTGGTACCAAAGGCGCGACCACTGCCAGACAATTTTAAAAGCTGCTTTTTCAACTTTGAAAATTCTTTGAAAATTGAAGGCCCACTTTTCGCTTGGTTACCAAATTATTAAAAATATTTGATGAAAATCACTGCAAAGTCGATAAAAATCGTGTTTAAGACCTTGATATTAGTACCAACCTGCCCATTAATATACTCACTACAGCCTCTTAATGTCTTTTAAATAGTCTTTTTAGAAATAAAAAAAATCTCATTTTTTCATGCTTACCAAGTCGGGTTGAAAATTAGTAGAAAGTAAAAATGAAGAGACTTAAGCCATATCCAGCGATTCAGCTGAACTATATGCTATACACATGGAACAAGAAACCGGGCATCTAGGAAACCAAAAATAGCACTTGATTTATTATGAAAATGTTTCCCTAAAAACAGGTAGCAGATTCTCTGCATGTTTGCAAAGTCAATTGAAGAAATCTATAAAATCGTGGAAATGGCGGTCCCAATTGTGTAACCAGCTTTTCTAGGGCATATGGAGGACAATAGGTTATTTTTATCCGCCATTTAATTAGCACGCTTCAATGAACAACCAGATGTAAGTATCAACTCCAGAAATGAGGACTAAAGGCGATTTTTATTATGTATAAAAAGTTTGAATGATTCTACAGCAATGGGGTAAATGAAGGGCCGAGCGGCAATTCCAAGGCTCTAAAGGGTCCAGTCTTTTCCTGAAATTTTGAAATGGAATCCCCTCATCGAGCCTTGCGCGGTATTGAGGTGGGCCCAGAGATGAAGTCTGCGAGTGACTAAGCCGCTTGGTGAGTTAAGTAACTCTTTACAGAAAACGCATAAATTAAAAAAAAAAAAAAAAAGTCAATTCGTAAACAACTGAAGAGTGCAAACCTGAAACATTACCCTGCAATATAAACCTTGCGAAAGCTACTCAAAAGGGGGGGGGTGGTTAGGTCTAAGTTTGACTCACAGGGTCTTACGAAGGGGGAGAAGAGTCAAGTCAAGTTTTACGTGAGCCTCCCACTTTAAGAAAAAATAATCATTTTGAATAGAAAAAAAAAGTCGCCAGTTTCCACACTTCCTCTGTCATTTTCTGGAAAATTGGGGGGGGGGGATCAGGGCAGTTACTTGATTCCAAAGGGGATTGAAAAGTAGTTGCACTGTTGCTTTACAAGGGGTGGAGTTTTAAAATGTAGTCCAAAAAGCCGTAAGAATCACTTGAATCGCTACCAGAACAAATTAGTGAACAGTTAAATGATAAAGCAAAAACTGGCAACTATGGCGCTTAAGGAAAAAGCCTTTTTAATGGAAATGATTGATTTTGGTCGTAAGTAGACGAGCAGAGGTGAATTAACCATCACTGCCATCATCCGCCACCTAAAATCGCCAGTTTACAATTCAAAACATAGGCGGCCGCGCGCCGACCCGCTCCGTTTTTGCGCTTTTGCTCCCTCAAATTTAAAGATAAACCTATGATGTAGTATACCAAATCAACGCTAAAAGAACGATCTACAACTTTTACTGAAGGATGTTTTTTGATCTGGGTCTTCATAAGGACGTAAATACGGAAAATACCGGTCAATAATTCTCAATTTTCAATTTCTTTCAATTTTACTCACCTTTAAATTACTGTGACATTTAAAACTAAAGTTTCTTCGAAAAGTAGACTCAATTACCTACAGTTTCAAAAAAAATTGAGCTCTCCAAGTTTACTTCTCGCTCCGCAGTGAATTTTTGAAAATATGTCCAATTTTCAACTTCATCAGACCACTGTGCGGAATCCCCCAAGGGGATTTATGGGGACTTTTGGCTAAAAACACCTTTTCATATGAAGAATCGATTGGGCCTAAATCCAGCCGTATGTTCGTTTTCGGCCGGAGACGTATCCTGTATGCCTTCGTTTACTGGACTAAGATGGTGACCAAGCGTTTTTTAAAGTGCTATATCTCTATAGCCAATTGCCTGATTTTGATGTACTTTGTTACGTAAGACAAGTGTCTACAGGTCTGGAAAACCGGGGAAAGTCAGATAGCTCTATGAAAAAAAACAAGAAATTTTTTCTAATGAGTCCTTGTTGCGGCAGTGAACGTATGTTTTAAGAAGCAATCGCCGCAGCGCTCCCGTCGCTGTGTAGTGAGGTGCAAACTTGGGGTATGGTAACTGTGTGCGTTTCTGTTTCGTGATGACAAGTGAAAAGGAAATCGTCATCTTGTGTTCGCGCAATGGAGGGAAGAAAGGAAAGGCGGTGGCAATTCCGTCATATTGTACCCACCTATGTCATCCATGTAAACACAACGTTGTTGTCCTTGCTGTTGTTGAGGCCTAGGCCAGCATCTGATGACCATCTTAGTTCCGGTCTTTAGTTTTAGTGTATGTTCCCCTATCAGGCCCAAATTCCCCTAAAAGGCAGAGGGGGCAGCTGCCCCTGGCGGCAAATTCCGAGTTCTAAGAAAGAGGGGGGTCGGAACAGAGACCAAAAAATTGTCGCGAGCAGCGGCATGAAATTACAGTGCGAGAGCATGCATGATTCAATTAACAAAAGAGCGCCTAATATCGCAGCCATTGCTTATGATTACCCTCGGTTCTGATGACAAAAATAACCAAGTAAAATCATGC